GGTTGGGAGAGGCGAGGCGCTGCGGGGCGGAGCGCGGCAAGGGGCCCCGCGCAATGAAAGGAAAGGGCGTCCGCAGAGGGCCAGCAGAGAGGGATTTTCCGGGTCCGAGCGCTGGCTGTCGCGAGGGGCGTTTCCGAGCTCGCTACCACGAAAGGGCACGGGCTGCCCACCTCACCGCTCTACCGACCTGCAGAATTATGGGTGGGGATAATCCGCACGAAGTTTTCTTCCGTCAAATACTTTTTACGAATTCTTGAAGTGTCAAATTGGTCACTGAGCGGAACTGGCTGATGGGATGTTCGGGAATTTTCTTTATTTGATTGCGGTTAACCTTTCGTTGGTGTGTCCCTGAATCTCGTATATCTCATAATCACTCAAGTAAATCATTCTAGGTAGAGAATAGCACACGGCAAACATTATAAGTACAAGAAATGGTGATTTTGATAAGCATTTTACTTAATATTAATTGTTCTTAAATTGGTTTTTTCATGTTTTTTGCTATTTGAAATGTTTTTACTTTAGCGTTTTAAACTTTTTTATGTATTAACTTCTGGCGAAACGTTTAAGAATTTTACACAATTTTAAAAGTAAATGATATGCCCAGTAAATAGATTGAATTTTCTTATCGGCGTTACACACTTACAGCAGGTTTTACCTATTTTTACTTAGCGAATTTATTTTATCGCGTCTATATTTTCCTATTCACATTTACTTTTTGTATTCATATTCTATTTTTGTAGTTTTGTTTATGTCCTTATATTACCTTAAATTAGTTTATTATGAATGTTATGGCGAAGAGTAAAATAACGGATAGAATAAATTTAGCGAGTATCTACATGAGTGACTCTAGTGAATATGATGAGCATCCTGATACAAGCATTTCTGAAACAAAGCTTATCGGTAGCGTTGTAAAGCATTCATCAAAACGTCAAGTGCTAAATTTAATATAGATTTTCAAAGAAAATAAGACGTTAGTAGCTTCAGTGTATGTGGCCTTAGAAATGAAGGAAGGGATGCCATTCTTTCGTTCCCAAACATTAAATGAGACATAAGTGGGAGCTGGGGCAATCTTCTAGTCCCACTGTTCCCGCGAACTCTCCGAGGGATTTGTCTTGTATCAGTGGCGTATAAACTGCACGTCAATTGCCACAAGTGAACGACATGGAGCGCAAACGAAAAACGTCTCCCAGTAAAAATGTGAGACGTACTTATCAAAAATGCCAAGAATTCATTACAGATTTCGAATGTACGCAATTATTTCGGAAAGTACATACTGTTTACTGCAATTACATTTGTTATTTGATTGGTGTATTTGCAATGAAATGGGTTTTGCTTATATCATTTAGACAAGCTAGTCTCTTGGAAGGTGCGAACATTTTTATTAATAGATGGTTCTTAGAGAAAAACATTTTGTACTGTGAGAAACAATATATTATGCAACTAGCTTATAATGATAAGTTTTATTTCATAAGTACACGTTTTGAAAACGAGTGACGTGAGGAACGAATCCAATAAAGCACATTTGAGTTGCACACGTTACTTTTTGTGTATCAGCATTATAAATTTATAAGACAATAAAACCCAATTTCGAGAAACAACTTAATTATGACTATTACGAGTATTTGACATGTGTGTGAAGAAATCGTTGCCGGATGTTCGGTTTACCACCACCACCACTCCGTGATTCGCCCACTTCAAGAAGGCGTGCGAAGCAATTATTTGGGCCATAAACGGCAAACACTTCATAATCTGTGCCATAAGACTTCGCTTTATGATCGATTTCTTACAACGATTGTCGTTTACAATGCCGGTATACAAAAATAGTATTTTTAAATTGTCTATGGGCTAAAGGAGTGAAGTATAAGTGCATGATTACTATGTTTGCGGTAACGTTCGTTACTTTATGTACAATCATTGTATATTTACAACTTGCAGTTATACTCCATTTACGTACGCAATGCATTCCTGACTTTTCCGTGCGCGGCAAGCGAGCAGCACGTTCGCAGGCCAAACACTCGCTTTCAATTCCGTGCTCACTCCCTTCTGCATTCCACTGGATACTTTTTTATCTACTGCAATTACGAATGGTAAAATTATTTTAGTATTACTACGTGATTTAGGACAGGATGGTAAAGCTGTGAGTTTTGGTAGGTAACCGTTGATTGGTCTGAAGGAGCTTGATTATATTCATATACGCAATAGTTTCGTTGTTTTGTAATCGCATTGATTCAACAATGCTTAAATTTTCTCAACCAATAATCGTATAGTTATAACGTCATTAGGCTGATAAACAGCTAATAACAGGCGCGATTGAAGTTTGTAAGCCGAGGCGATAGACGAGGTTTATAACCGAGTCAGTGATTTGCGTTATCGGCCGCGTATCATTCAATACTTTTCATAATAACATCTTATAATAATAATAATAATAATAATAATAATAATAATAGAAATTATATAAATAAGAAACCCTTTTCTTGAAATGAGGGTAACCTTTGTTTCGATTGTTTTTAATAGATTGCGGCCGTTAATAGTGGCATTTCGTTCCTCTTTAGTTTGTATTAAGTCAATATAACCGTTCAGCAATATGAAAAAAGTTTAAACAGATGAGTGAACGGAATACGTTTTGAAAGCCGCTACATGCGAAGATACCGAAGAGTTCTTCCACAGCGAAGCGTTATAGCAATCGACAGCACTGTCCATCAATTTCGCGCATGCATAGAAGTGATGCGAAACACGAACTGCACATGCGCTCAAGATCGATAGTGCTGTTGACTCGTGTAAAGCTTCATTGTACAAAAACTCCTTATCCGAGGCATGTCAATGTCGCGGCAAGATATTATAACCGAACAACATATTCCCTGAACAACATATTCCCACTCCTTTACTAGCATTATTTTAATTCAGAGAAAGGAGTAGCAACTTGTTTTATTGGCAAAATCCGATAACCAGAGATATTCGCTCCCCCGCAATAGAAACAATTTTGCATATAAAAAGAGCAACAGATTTGATGGATAGAACAGAAAGACCGGTCGACGAAATATATATGTATACACACACACACACACACCACTCCTCTCACTGTTAGCAAATTAAGGGCCCAAGAAAATGTGCGTAGATAATAACTATCTTACTAGAATTCGCGGCCACTGCGTTCAGAGCAACTGGTGCGAGATTTATGTCAGAGTTGTACAAATCGCTCCGGAGTGACGGTACGTTACTGGATACCCTGGCCCATTGCAGTCTTTTGGAGAAGTCAGTTGAGTGTAATTTCCCCAACTGTAACTATATTAATTGCCATTTCCTCTACTACAGCAAAGAAATGATCCATTAAAATATAATAATGCATGAGTCACATTTCAAATTTGTCAATTGACAGTAAAATTAAAGATTTTAAACCGAAAGTATTTTTATTTTGTAATCCGTTTGCTGAAGAATGAATGAAATGCAACAAATACATTGTTTCGGTTCGGACGTTTAACAAAGATTCTGCTCTGTTAAAACTTCTATCCGCCCTTATGCGATAATTACTAATTTATAGAAACCTGACACTTTATTTTACATTATTTCCATTC